GTTATTTTTGTCGTTGTTGTTGAAGAACTTAGCATATGGACGTAAATAAGCATATATATAAATTATTTTTCATTTAATTTTAAAATGTTATGTTTTATTAAAATTATTAATATAATTAATGTATTATTACCTAATCTTTACAATTTATTTTTATTAAATTCTAATTATATTTAATTTATGATACCCATTCCATCAAAGATTAAACATGAATTAAATAACGATTTTGGTGTTATCAAATTTGTTTATGTTATTAAAGAATGAGTTTTGAAATTTGTTAGTAATTTAGTATTGAAAGATGTAAACGGATATATATACATACAATGATGTAAATTTAGGATATAATATAGAATCGGAGTCTTTAAATACTAATATAGAATATTTAAAATTTAATGACTAATTTAGAATTTAAATAATAGTTTAAGGTTATACTCTGCAATTAACTTTGATAATTAGCTAAAGTTGTTAACAAGTTAGCAAGTAACAATTAACTGACAACTCTGGTTATTTTTATTGTTGTTGAAAAACTTAGCGCATGGACGTAAATAAATATAAAAATTATTTTTTATTTGATATTAAGCTGTTATGTTTTATTAAAATTGTTAATATAATTAATATAGTATTATCTATTTTTATAACTTATTTTTTTATTAAATTCTAGTTATATTTAATTTATGACTTTGATTCTATCAAAGATTAAATATAAATTAAAGAAAGATTTTGATATTATCAAATTTTAAAATCTCATATTGTTACAAACACTTCGAACACATAATTACATGAAACAAAAAGCTCGAATGATTATACCTTACCAACCCAATGATTAACAAGGACTGCGTGACATATCTTAAAGGGTTTACAACCCAAAACCCAAAAGGAATTTACAAATAATTTGGTAGGTTATTTAACTCAAATAAATGGACGAAGAAAATCTAAAAGAAAAACCCTTTATATAAATGTTGCAAGGTAGCAGGCTGAGGGGCGCAAGGTGTGCGACCGTGTAGGGTCTCAAAAAATAGGGGTTTTGAATCGAATATATTTATCAGTTGTTGCTATTAATAAGTATAAAAATAAGGACCTCGAAATCGAATATATCTATCAGTTGTTGCCATTAATAAGTACAAAAATAGAAGTCCCGAAATCAAGTATATCTATCAGTTATTTCCATTAAAAAATATAAAAATAGAGATTCCGAAATCAAATATATCTCTATTTATCATTATTTTAATAAGCACCCATTTATTTTAATATAGGGAAATACTTGATAGTGGCATAACTTGGTATTAAGTTTTTTTTAAAAATAGGGTTTAGAACATCATTGTTTTAAAATACGAGCATCCATAATGCCTGTACAAGTTGGCAGCCTGTATTAGGTCCTATGATAAATGGATGTTCCTCTGAAATGAGTATATCTATCAAGAATTAACATTCTCAAAAAATAGAAGCATCGAAATCGAATATATCTATCAGTTGTTGCCATTAATAAGCATAAAAATAGGGGTCCCGAAATCGAATATATCTATCAATTGTTTTTATTAAAAAACATAAAAATATGGACCCCGGAATTGAATATATCTAAAAAATATTTATTTTTTTATAAGAATTTACACAGGACCCCGATAACCTAGCAACGGTCGTGCAAGGTAGGTCATGAGTTGCACGATCTTAGCCATCGAGAATTGCATGATCTTAAGTGGTATAAGAAAAGAAAATCAGTCAAAGAATTCCCAATTCAAAGATGAATGAATATAGTGGTATTAGATATGTTGCCGGCTAGTATCACACAGTTCTTGCTAGCCTAACAGGCTGCCATAGCAGCTGGAGAAAAGGGGTCTCGGTAATTGGAGAAAAATATAAATGTCATCAATTTCTTGTTGGAATATTGTTTGAGAAATCAGCATTTTGGATCGATTATCAGATTGAATAAAATTCAATTCTATTAAAAATTTATTTTTTTCACTTAATTAGAAGTCTAAAAATTTCGAATTGATTTGACTAGATTTGAAAAAAAGTTCAAATAAAATTTGAGTTATTAAATAAGACTCGTAAAACTCAAAATTTATAGTAATTATTAGATTAATTTTCAAATTCAAATCTAGTCTCTCAATTTTACATGATATATGTATATCATATGTAATTTTTTTGAAATAATATATATATATATATATATATATGGTTATAAAAATCCGTTTAAATTAGAATCAATTAGTATCATAATATTATAAATATTTAAAATTAAATTTAAACAGAAACTCAAACAACTCAACTCGATTCAAATTCCATAAACTAAGGGTCTGTTTGTTTCACTGAAAACATTTTTCGGAAAATGAAATCTGGAAAATGAATTACATTTCCGGAAAACATTTTCCAGAAAACATTTTACAGTGTTTGGATGCTACATTGTAAAATGTTTTACACTGTTTAGTTAATTTTTCAGAAAACAGTTTTCAGAATATCTTTTTAATAAAGAAACATACATATTCAATATGTTTTTATTCTTTATCTTAGTTTTAAAGGTTCATTTTATTTTTTTATATAATTATATTTTATAAAAATTTGTATTTTTATAAATACATCAGACTATATTTTTAGATAATATTAATAATTTATGTTAATTGTGTTATAAATACACTATTTTAGGTTTAAAATCTTCATGATGCTTATTCATTCATTTTTTTATAAATGAATTTCAACGTATAATTAATATTATGTAGGTTTATTTGATATAATATTAATAATATATTAAGAAGGGAAGGTATTTCGAAAGGAAAAAGAAGGGAAGGTATTTCGGTTATACTTCAAATATGTCGGTAATGACACATACAATGGCTAAAGGCATAACTGAGGTAAATGAAACTACATGTCTAATATGTTCAGAGGAAAACTATAGCATTACTAAAGGAACAACAATCTACATAGAACATTCCAGTAAATCATTACACCTTTCAAAGAAACTCAAGTAAAAATAAAAGTAAACAGCCTATGAGTTGCAACTGTTATTTTCCTAATGATATAGGAATCAATTATGAAGCGAAACTTTGGTCGCATAAAATCCAAACTTATACAACTCAGGAGATTGATGCCAGCTTAAGCAAAGAAAATTGTCAAGCAACATAGTCGTTTTAATGAAAAATGAATATTTTAAGCTCTCAAAGATGATGGCAGACAACAAAAACTGCACTCAATTTTTCAATATTCAGAACATACTTCTTCAATGCTGGTGCTATGATCAATTGACAGCTGCAGTGCAGTCAATCTCATGGACCGAGCAGAAGCCTCATTAACTGGCTTAACTGTGTTTTCACCCGGTGCCAGTGTCTCCTCCATTATACCCTCAATGCTTGATCCATTTTCCTCGTGCTTTCTTCGTCCATACTGGAACCAACATCTTTTGCTTCATAAGAAGATAAAGTGCTAGAGCAGCAGCCTTCTCTGGGAAGAACCTGTACAGATTACCAAAAACATCAAAACACCCCTCCAACGTCAGTCATCGTTAAGCATATGAACATCAAATTTCAGTTCAAAAGCAACAATCAAAGCCACGTGACCATATACATCAATTCAAACCAAATATCCCTCAATTTCATAATCCATACGAATAGCGTAAGTGCAGAACCATTCGTTTTTAATCAGAAATGCAAAATGGTCATAGAATTCAAGATCAAAGCATTTAAAAAAAGGTCAATAAATAAAATTTCAACAATAAAAAAACCCCAATTCACATTATAGAAATCAGGTGCTACAGTAACTCAAAAGAATCCACCAACCAACAAAAAATCGATTAAATAAAAAGCAAATCAAACCCCAAAAAACGTACAGCTGAACATAGTTCTTCAAGTGCTTCTCTTGACTGTACATCCAAGCAAACACCACAACTATGGAAAATGAAAATGGAGCTTTCAGAACTTTATTTTATGCCTCATCGGTGAAATTGAAAATGGAAAATGAGGGAAAGATGAAACAAGAAAAGGATATCAAGGAAGATGAAAAGGGAGAAGATGAAACGAGAGATACATGAGAAGACGACCGCCTGCCTCGCCAGTGAGAAGGATTCCAAACAGCCGATTGATTTTCTGGTGTGGAACAAGGGAGGAGAGAACCAAAGGCTGTGTTTTATGTGTGGAGCAAGGGACAGGACAAAGCTGGAAATCAACTTATGATCCTTTTCCAAACGGTAAGTTGAAATACCGTGTTTTCCTCTCCCTTTTCCATTGACTATAAAACATTTTACGTTAACCAGAGTATTTTACGGGAACCAAATACAAAAAAAGGGAAAAATATTTTCCGTAAAATGATTTCCTCATTCCAAACACACCCTAAAGTAATTAGCTCAAATTTTTTTAATTATACTCAATCAAATACATTACGTCTACCGAATATGAAAGATAAAATCACACGGAAAAAAGCCAACAGGGCGACACTAATTAAAGCAAAGTCAATGGGGAAAAGTGGGATTTAATTTTTAAACGATATTGAAAATAGTTTTGAAGAAAGTCAATTTGATCAGATGATACAGTTCATCTAACTTTGGATTGGTTCGTGTGGTGGAAAAAGAAAATAAATTTTGTATTTATTGGTTCATTCGTGTGGAAAAAGAGGAGAAAAATTGAAAGTCCATACCCAAGTAGTCCATTTTTCTATGTGCAAGCTCCAAGTATACGAAGCGCGCATTCCAAGTAAGAAAAACCCTAAAAACAAATTAGGAAGGCGGTCACCAAGAATCTGTCCTAACTACTTCAGCCAATAAATAATTTAAAAAAATGCAGCTGCTCATGCACAGCTACAAGCATGTTCATGGAAACAACTTAATAAAGTATCAAAATAAATAGCAGGAGAAGATTGATTGTGCAATCAATGCTATCTGTGTGGATTACCAAATACATCTTTTGGTCAACCTTTGCCTCTCCTATAAATATATTCTGTTTTCTCTTTACTCCTCTGTGCACAAATCGTTTACCATAATTTTCTTCATCTTCTAAAGAAAACCACCCTTTTGTTTAGCCATGTTTTTTCCTATGGTGTTTCTGAAGCTAGCCAACTGGGTCTTGTACCAGCTGCTGGCTAACTCGTGTTATCGAGCCGCCAGGAAGGTGATGAACTATGGGTTCTTTATAAGGAACCAAACTCCTCGGTCGTCGTCACAGCAACAAGCTGGTTCTTTATTCCCTGGCGTCGCTCACTTTGATTTAGGCAACGATATTAGATCTCCTCGTACATTGGTTTGTGATATTCATGGAGTTCTATTAAGAACAGACACCTTCTTCCCTTACTTCATGCTCGTTGCTTTCGAAGGTGGTAGCATTTTAAGAGCCTTTCTCTTGCTTTTATCCTGCTCATTTTTGTGGGTTTTAGATTACGAGCTGAAACTGAGGGTTATGATCTTTATATCCTTCTGTGGGCTTAGGAAGAGAAACATCGAGAGCATCGCCATGGCCGTGTTGCCCAAGTTCTATCTCGAGAATCTTAATCTCCAAGCTTATCAAGTTTGGTCTAAAACAGGTTCGAGAGTTGTGTTCACAAGTATACCTAGAGTAATGGTCCAAGGATTCCTAAAGGAATATATGAACGTCGACGATGTTGTTGGCACCGAATTGCACACCGTCGGGAACCGTTTCACAGGCTTGTTGTCCACCTCCGGTTTGCTCGTAAAGCATAAGTCTTTGAAAGGATACTTTGGAGATAAACAACCAGACGTTGGCCTTGGAAGCTCAAGCCACCTAGACCATCAGTTTATCTCCCTATGCAAGGTATTTTCATTACATCCAACTGTGAAATTTTGTGTTGATTTCGGGTAACCTTGCATTTAACACTAGACCACCTACCGAGTACATTTCTTGTGAACATTGACATGAAGTTGTTTATGGAGGAAATTTTGGGTACATTAATTCAAGTTTTTGTTGGTGAATGCGACAGGAAGCGTATGTGATGGATAGCAGAAACAATCAAAGCAGCGTGATGCCGAGGGACAAGTACCCGAAGCCACTTATATTTCACGACGGGAGGCTAGCGTTCTTGCCGACTCCATCAGCGACGCTTTGTATGTTCTTGTGGCTTCCATTTGGGATAGTTCTTGCCATTTTCAGGATCCTCGTCGGTATCTGCTTGCCTTACAGGTTAGTTATATTATGTGGTTCATTAAGTGGAGTTCAGCTACGATTCCAAGGCTGTTTCCCTTCACCAAAATCACAACACAAAAAAGGGGTTCTATACGTCTGTACGCATAAAACACTTTTGGACCCAGTTTTCCTCAGCACGGCATTGTGCAAACCATTGACGGCCGTGACCTACAGCTTGAGCAAAATGTCCGAAATCATAGCTCCAATCAGGACAGTCAGGTTGACCAGAGACAGGAAACAAGACGGTGAAACCATGCAGAAGCTGCTAAGCGAAGGAGATTTGGTGATCTGTCCCGAAGGAACCACATGCAGAGAGCCTTACCTGTTAAGGTTCAGCTCGTTGTTCGCCGAGCTAGCCGACGACATAGTTCCAGTAGCGATGAACGCTCACGTAACAATGTTTTACGGCACGACCGCCAGCGGATTGAAATGGTTGGACCCCATTTTCTTTCTGATGAACCCCAGACCGAGCTACCATGTTCAAATACTCGGAAAGGTGCCACCAGAGTTCACATGTGCAGGGGGCAGGTCTAGCTTCGAAGTGGCGAATTATATTCAGAGGAAACTGGCTGATGCCCTGGGATTTGAGTGTACTACCTTAACTAGGAGAGACAAGTACCTGATGCTAGCAGGTAATGAGGGGGTTGTCAATGACAATAAGAGAAATTAACAATACTAATTAATTAATTAGCACACTTGCATCACCCCTGATGTCAGTTCTTTTTAGCTATTTTTCGGACCTGTTTTTACAGTTTTTGTAACAGATATGGTCCTTTTTGTCAGATATTATGAAAATCTTACAGCGTTGTGTCTGAAATTTTTACCTGTATCTGATTTATTGTAGTTGCTGAAGTGAAAGTGAAACGAGGGAATCACCATATATTATAATATCACTGTTATGTATGGCTCATAAAAAGTCTCGTTGTGGGGTTACGAATTATGTGGGTTGGGGGGTGTGGGGGCGCAGCCCCCGCGGTACGGTATAGGGTTGATTTTGTAATTATGTACCAGGGTTTTCTATTATAAATAGAGATGTAACCTAGACATAAAATATCATTGAATAAAACTTCTAGCGCCGCCTAGGCACCGAGGACGTAAGCACATTGTCGAACCTCGTAAAATTCTCGTGTTCTTTCGTTTTCTTTACCCGTTTTCGTCAACAATTGGTATCAGATGTCAGGAGCAAAATTCGAAGTAGCGAAATTCGATGGTCAGGGTAACTTCGGATTATGGCAAACGAGGGTGAAGGATCTATTGGCGCAGCAAGGGATCTTGAAGGCTTTGCGACCTATAAAGCCGGCGTCGATGGATGAGGAAGATTGGGAAGAATTGCAGCAGCGAGCGGCAGGAACCATACGATTATGCTTGGATGACGAGGTCATGTATCACGTCATGCATCTATCGTCTCCAGACGAAATTTGGAGGAAGTTGGAAAGTCAATTTATGTCCAAATCCTTAACGACAAAAACTGTATCTGAAGCAGCGGCTGTATGTACTGAAGATGCAGGACGATCACGATTTGGCGCAACACGTGAATGTCTTCAATCAAATCGTTTCTGATCTGGCTCGGCTTGATGTGAAAATTGAGGATGAAGACAGAGCGATGATTCTGTTGTGTTCGTTACCTTCCTCTTACGAACACATGGTGACTACTCTTACATATGGGAAAGAGACTATCAATGTTGAGGAGATTACTGCAGCCTTGTTGGCTCACAACCAGCGGAAGCAGAATGCAGGGGAAAGCTCTCAAGCCGATAGTTTATATGTCAAGGGTAATCGAGATCATGGACGGAAGCCAGAGAAGGCAGGGTCCGGGAAGCGGAATTCCAGATCTAAATCCAGGGATAAGAAGACGATTCACTGTTACAAGTGCAAGGAGGCGGGACATATGAAGCGAGACTGTCCGAAGTTGAAAAAGCAGACTGATGAGAAGCGTGATGGCTCATCCAAGTCTGTGAACGTGGTCGAGGATGATAATTCTGATTGCAGTGAGGGTGATATGCTTTCTATTTCAACGACACAATTGACGGATGCTTGGATTGATTCTGGATGTTCTTATCACATCACGCCAAATAGGGAATGGTTTTCGACATACAGGCCGGTTAATTCTGGTTCGGTTTATTTGGGTGATGATCGATGTTGCAATATTGTTGGTATTGGTGATGTCAGAATTAAGATGCCGATGGCCGTTCGATGTTGAGTGGTGTACATTCCACTTGAAGAAGAATTTGATTTCCTTGGGCACTTTGCACAAGAATGGTTTTATCCCTAAGACGAGGATAGGGAACCATTCGGATTGTTAAAGGAGCATTGACTGTGATGAAAGGCAGACTGCAGGGAATATCTACAGATTTAGGGAGTACCGTTGCAGGTGGAGTTCACTCTGTTGAGTCCTGTGATGATACGACAAAATTGTGGCATGCGCTTGCTCATCTTGTGAACGTGGTATGGCAGAATTACACAAGAGAAACTTGTTGCATGGTGTCAAAGCTGTAAGCTCGACTTTTGCAAGTATTGTGTTCTTGGTAAACAGACTAAAGTCCGTTTCAAGACTGCGAAGCACACAACTCAAGGGATTCTTGATTATGTGCATTCTGATGTATGGGGGCCTTCCACGACATCGTCTTTGGGTGGATCTAGGTACTATGTTACTTTTATTGATGATTTTTCACGGAAAGTTTGGGTGTATTTTTTGAAACAGAAATCTGAAGTTTTTGAGAAGTTCAAGCTGTGGAAAGCTGAGGTAGAAAACCAAAAGGACGAAAATCAAGTGTTTGCGGCTGACAATGGTACACACAGATTCACAGTTCCTACAATTCTGTAAGGAGCATGGGATTCAGAGGCATTTTACACTTCTGCGCAAGACACCATCGCCAAGGGCATCGCTGGCTGGGAAAGTTGCAAAAGAGGTATGGACTGGTCATGATGTTAGTTTTGATAACTTACGGATTTTTGGTTGTCCTGCTTATGTGCATGTACCTGATGAGAGATCCAAACTTGATGCAAAATCGAAGGAGTGCATTTTTCTGGGTTACAAGAAAGGTGTCAAAGGATTCAAGTTCTGGGATCCATTGCGAAGAAAGTTGTGATTAGTAGAGATGTCGTTTTTGATGAACAGTCTATGTTGCAGCAGAAGCAAGACACGACAGTGGTAGATTTCGAGCAGTTTCCAGTTGAGAAACCAGAAACTTCTCAACCGACTTCTGGTGGTTCCACTACGGATGATTTGCAGGATTATAGTCTCGCCAGAGACAGGGTGAGACGGACGAATATAAAGCCTCCGAACAGATTGGGTTTTGAAGACTTGGTATCTTTTGCACTTACTGTTAGCAGTGATGATCCAGTTACTTTTCATGATGCCGTTACTAGTCAGGAAAACGACAAGTGGATGGCAGCCATGGTTGAGGAGATGGAGTCTTTGAATCACAATCGCACATGGGAGTTAGTTCCCCTTCCTGAGGGTAAGAACCGATTGTTGCAAATGGGTGATAAGAAGAAACCAGTAGTAACAGAAAAAAGGGGGAGAAGTTCAAGGCTCGTTTGGTAGCGAAGGGTTTTTCACAGCAGAAAGGAGTTGATTATGATGAAATCTTTTCTCCTGTGGTCAGGCACACTTCAATCCGAGCAGTACTTGCATTGGTGGCTAGTTGAGATTTGCATTTAGAGCAGATGGATGTTAAAACTGCTTTTTTGCATGGTGATTTAGAGGAGCAGATCTACATGCGGCAACCTGAAGGTTTCACTCAACCTGGAAACGAGCATTTAGTTTGCAGATTGAAGAAATCTTTGTACGGGTTAAAACAGTCTCCGAGACAGTGGTATAAACGGTTTGACTCCTATATGATCAAGATTGGCTACAACCGATGTGAGTATGATTGTTGTGTCTATGTTAAGAGCCTTGATGATGGTTCTTTTATTTTTCTATTACTGTATGTTGATGATATGTTGATTGCTGCGAAGAACATGGATGATGTTATCGGTTTGAAAACTTTATTGAGTCAGGAATTTGATATGAAAGATTTAGGTGCTGCAAAGAAATTCTTGGAATGGAAATTTGCAGGGACAGACTCAAGGAAACTGCGGCTATCTCAACGGGGTTATGTTGAGAAAATGCTAGAAAGGTTTGCGATGCAGCGCGAAACCAGTTCACTCCATTGGCGAATCACTTTAAGCTCTCATCAGAAGTGTCCTAAGACAGATAAGGAAGCTGAAATATGGCAAAGGTTCCGTATTCTAATGCTGTTGGCTGCTTGATGTATGCGATGGTATGTACTCGTCCTGATTTAGCTCATGCTGTTAGTCAAGTTTGTAAGTACATGTCTAAACCTGGTAAGCAACATTGGGATGCAGTCAAGTGGATCTTTCGGTACTTAAAGGGTACTGTGGGACATGGAATTGTTTTTGGGAGTCAGCGGGATAATCCTTTGGTTGTAGGATATGTGGATTCAGATTATGCAGGTGACTTGGATAATAGAAGATCTACAGGGTATGTGTTTACTCTTGGTGGAGGGCCTATTTGTTGGAAGTCTACTGTTCAATCTGTCGTGGAACTATCTACAACTGAAGCTGAATACATGGCAGCGGCTGAAGCTGCAAAAGAAGCTTTATGGCTTACTGGTTTAGTGAAGGAGTTGGGTGTTCAACAAGGTGGAGTTCAGTTGCTTTGTGATAATCAAAGTGCTATTCACTTGGCTAAGAATCAGTGTATCGTGCTAGAAACATATTGATGTAAGGTTCCACAAGATCAGAGAGTTGGTTGCATCTGGAGAGGTTTTGTTTCAGAAGGTACATACTGAGAATGCCGCTGATGTTCAAGCCAGTTACGACAGACAAGTTCAAGCATTGCTTGGACTTGTTGAATGTTTCGAGTTGTTAAAGAAGCAAGGTAACCCAACCCACATTGAAGTTTCCAAGGGGCAGGATATTCGCGCAAGGTGGAGATTTGTTATGTATGGCTCATAAAAAGTCTCGTTGTGGGGTTACGAATTATGTGGGTTGGGGTGTGGGGGCGCAGCCCCCGCGGTACGGTATAGGGTTGATTTTGTAATTATGTACCAGGGTTTTCTATTATAAATAGAGATGTAACCTAGACCTAAAATATCATTGAATAAAACTTCTAGCGCCGCCTAGGCACCGAGGATGTAAGCACATTGCCGAACCTCGTAAAATTCTCGTGTTCTTTCGTTTTCTTTACCCGTTTTCGTCAACAATCACCCCCTTCGATCCTTTGTTATAACATAACATGCAACAAAATTTAACACTCAGAGCAATAAACTAGACATTTGAGCGCAGAAGACTTTTTCGAAGCATTACCTCCCCGGGGGAACTGATGGTCGAAGCTCTATACACAAATGTATGATTTTATGTAAGAAAATACGAATTTATAAAATTTTAGAGAGCGGAAATAAATTATAAAGAAAAAACTTACATTATACAAGAGTTTAAAATTTTCAGAAGGTGACCACCCATCAACCACCTCGTCCATCTCTGGCTCCACGCCCACACATTTGACATACATGTTGATACTAGGGAATGGACTGGAAATATCAACCTATGGTGATATGATTCTGAAGGAATTCAGTGCACCTCTAATTCGTCCAAGTTCAGAGAAAGAAGACCAACTGGAGAGCAAGACTTCCAGTGAACTACTCTTGGTATTTTCTATGAATTACAAGTACAGCTCCAATACAATAATAATTGTAATAATAATAATACATACCTGAGCAATTATCGCATTGAATCGACTATTATAAAAGTCAATAAATTTAATAAACAAGACATATTTAAATAATGATCATATACCGTAAAGCTTACATCAGAATAAAACATAAATTATATTTCTGTAAGATAAAACTCAAACATAAAATATGAAATATTTATACAATTAAATGAATCATTATAAAATAGAAATAAATTAATAACTGAAATATATTTAAATAATAACTTACGTATTTATAATACTTTTTCTCTCACGTACACAGTTCTAGAATCTAGATTCCTATTTTGGCTATGGGTTCAATAATTTAGAGGATGGGGGCTATAATTTGATTGGGATTATACAGTAGTTGAAATGGATAAAGAGTAAGGGGGAGGATTGAGGTATCGTTTTCCTGCACAAACGTTGGAACGTGTGCACATGCAACATTAACCCTAACCCTAATCCTCTCTGTGCTCGAAATGAATGATGCAATGAATGCTTCAATACTTATTGGTTGCTTTAAGATTGAAAATCCAATACCATCCTTACTCTCGCCGCAGTTCAAGTGATGGCCGGTTTGGACCAAGGCCATTAATGAACCGAGTTTAAACCGATATATTTTTATTATATTAGTTTATTTGGTTTTAAGTTTGTTCGTCTTCCATTCATATTGTTAAAAAATTTAGAGTTAAGTTTATGTTTATTTATTTGAAAATTATGTAAATTTATTTTCGTTCATTTAATGTTCGTAGATATATCATGTTCAATGTTTATAAACATGTACATTTAAATATTTTTGTGAACTCTAAACTAACATACATATTTATGAATATTAAACGAATATAATTATAAATATGTTGATGAATATGTTTACGAATAATTTTATTTATGATTAAGTTTTAATTAATCGTGAAGATATTTATAATTATATTTTGAATATATTTACAAATAATCAATGAGATATCTTGAGTTGTCTATTATCGCGTTCCATGTTTTCTTATTAATAATTGTCATATGATACCGAGAATCGCAAGAATATAAGACATAAAAGAGAAAGGTTTCTCTCATCAAAGGTGATCTTCTTTCCTTCTGTTTCTCCACTTTTTTTGTATTCTTTTGATCACAATTTCAAACCGAATTCTGTAATAACTCTTTACTTAAATAAAAAAATAAAAATAAAATTCAACTTTGTCTATTAACTTGTGTTGCACGTAAATCTCCCGATTGAATCGCATAGGATTTTCTTTACGAAGACAAAGTGACTTTGTCTAATAGGGATAGAGAGAAGGCCTTGCACCTTAAAACACAGTGATCCATCTTATGCCGCTAACTTGCTGAATCTACGAAGGAAGAGACAAGTTACCATCGCTATAAGAAATAAGAATTCTTTTCGATTCGGTCGGGAATAAAGTCTCTTTATTCAGCTCTATGCAATTCTTCTTGAGCAGATCACAAGTAATAATGGTATGAACTATGTCATCAAGACTAAGGATTAGAAAAACTGCAGCAAAGAGTTCAACAAATTGAAAACGTTTATAAAAGAGACCATATGATATGGTCTGGTTTCCATAAATGCTTGTTTCCCTATCAGTATTGACATGGACATCGTCATCTTTTTTTTTTATGAAATATGATGTCCAATTCACAAAATAGACAACTGTCTTACCTATCTGATCAATATCCAATTGCATAAAACGATATCATCAATATCAAAACCAATTGGTTTAGCAGCAGTAAAACACAGAAGCATCCACTTCAAGGTTGTAATACGTCAATTACCTGTGGTTACTTTAGACACTAGCTTCTGCGAGGCTAAGCCTTTTGGGTTAAATATGCTTCAGCAAAATCCAATTGAATTCGATATCATTCCTAATCCATGCAGTTACATGTCTATCACCCCAATTTGATTTAATAGGGAATTTAATGTCAAGTAAGAAAAGAACATCTTTACGAGCAAATATAACTTTTAATACAAGGACCTAAAGGTCATAGCAACAAACATCAGAAGGATAAGCAAGCTTTAACCACAGAGTCAACCCGCAAAAGAGAATTTACACAAATATGATGTCCAAATACAATTTGGAAAAAGTCAACATAGCTACTTTGCACTTGACTACCTAAGAAAACCTATATATAACCTATTGTGCCCAAGATATGTCCTTGTTTTCACAAATCCATAGGTATCCTTTAATAAACAAATACAGGAGGCAAGCCAACAAAGTATCAGCCAATCAATTAGGTTCTACAAGGCAGCTGTAATTATGAAGGACACTCAATTTCACTCGAGCCTCTTTTCTATTTACAAAATTGGCTTAAAGAATTTTACAGAAACTTAAGCAATCAGTCCCTCAATGTCAGCATTAGAGCATTATGCAGCCAACTTTTGACATCTTACCAAAGCTCTGTTGCTAAATGATCCAGCCTCAAAACAAGCTACAGATGCGGCAGTTGCTTCATTTATAATAGAAGAAGATACTAAGACTTTAAAGAAGAGAAAGAAAATAAATAATTGCAAGTGTGCTAAAGCGAATGCATGCATGTCAAGTCTCCTAACTATTCAGTTTTCATATTATCATTCCATTGAAACCTCCTCTCTCTCTTTTCTCTATGATCCTCTCCCACTCCCTTTCTTCTTAGACTAAGAGCAGAGAAAGAAGAAACAAAAAATAAGTGAAGAATTATGAAACCAATGTTAAATATGTAGTTAGCCAATTGGAAAGTGATGTCTAAAGTCAATCATTTTTCCTTGTTCTACAAAATAGGTAAACAGACAATAATACGGTGCAGGAGGAAAGCTGCCTAGACAACCTTCAAATTAAATATAATTGTGTAACCTAACAAATACAAGCCCTCTCCCTCCAGCCCACCTTCATATATATATATATATATATATATATATATATACAGACATGCACATGTATATGTGTATATATATAAAGCCCTTTTTCCAGGCCATCAAGTTGAAGATTTAAAATTTAATTTTATCATAGGCTTGGATTAATAAAATTAAGATGTTTGAGATGTAGCTGGAGATACCGAGTTTATCTATACACCTTCCAAAACAGTGCCAATTGTTTCAAGCAATAAATTTATAAGAATATATATAAAGCTAATTTCTTCGTTATATCACAAGAAGAATAAAACAATTAATTTCTGAAAGGAAGTAAGTCCTTACACGATTCCATAAGGGAAATTTGAATTTTGATACAGAGCAAAGGAAGTCAAATAATCCAGAAAAAGGCCGAAACAGAAGAAACCACATGACAGGAAGCCAATCACGTAACAAGCTTCATAGACGCATCTCTTGTGAATAAGCTACACAGTTTTTGAAGCTGAATAAGAGTTTTCAAGCAGCAGACATCACTCCATCTAGTTTTTTATGCCGAAAACACACATAAAGTGCGCACATTACACAGTAGCTGCAGCTTGATTCAGAGTTGCAAATCTGTCTCTTGGCCTAGAGTTTTTTAACTCAAGAAAGCCACCAACCTTATGACAAAAGAAAATCATATTATTCCAATCAGGACCTTGGTCCAAAATGAATGACCCTCAATGGTAAATCAGCTGAACTAAATAATCTTCTAGCTTCTAGTACTGAAACTGAAAATAATGGTTATATTATCAGTAACTCAATATTCGAGCGATGTGAATCTTAGACTGAAGCTTTTTCACCTCTCCAGGAAATCCAAAATGGCAAAGACCAAGCAGGACAGCCTGTTGAGCAGACTTCAATATTTTCATGCCATTTCATGAACAAGATTGGCTGCAGAATGGTTCCTCCTGTCCCTGTGAAGGTTGTGCACCAAAGAGGAGTAGGTATATATAATCTCTTACCTCCATTGAGTTATAGATTTTCATTGCATCATCAGTCAGACCGACTTTACACAACCCACCGACCAAACAATTAAATGCAATCAAATCTGAATCAGCTGAACTAAATAATCTTCCAGCTTCTATCACTGAAATCGAAAGTAATGGTTAAATTATCAGTGACTCAATATTCGAGAAATGCGAATCTTAGACTTAAGCTTTTTTGCCTCTCCAGGAAAACCAGAATGGCGAAGACCAAGCAGGACAGCCCGTTGAGCAGACTTTAGTATTTTCATGCCACTTCGTAAACAAGTTAGCAGGAGCTTGGCCGCAGAATGGTACTTCCTTTCCCTGCAAAGGTTGTGCACCAAAGAGGAGTAGGTAAAAGAATCTCTTACCTCCATTGATTTATAGACTTTCATTGCATCCTTAGTCTGACCGACTTTACACAACCCATCAACTAAACAATTTAATGCAACCAAATTTGAATCAAAGCCCATCATATTCATGTACTTCAAATGTTGCGCAGCCCCATCTATATTACCTGCCTTGCACAATCCATCAATCATTATTGTGTGTGTATACTTGTCACACTCCAACCCTTTTTTTTCTATCTCATCCAACAATTTATAGGCTTCTTCAAACTCACCAGTTTTACAATACATGTTAATCAGTGTGTTATAAGTCACTATATCAAGCTCAATACCACTCTTCATCATGTCCATCATGTATTCAGCCGCCTCTTTTACCTTACCTATCTTAACCAGAGCACCGATAACCGTACAATAAGCAAAACCATCATATGTATACCCTCTACCCTTCATCTCTGACAATAGCTCAAGCCCCTCTAAGAACTTCTTTTTCCTAAAGAAGCATTTCAATACGGTAGTGTATGTTATGGCATTTGGAACATGCCCCGATTCCCCTATTTCCTTAAGAATCCTTCTTGCTGACCCTAATCTACCAATCTTGCATAATCCACTAACAAGAATATTGTAAGTCACTAACCCTGGCACAAATCCATGGCGCTGTAAATTCCTAAACAACATAAGAGCATTATCGGTATACCCATTCTTGCAAAGACCATTCATCATAATGTTAAAAGTAGCTCTAGAAGGCGAATGCTCACCAAGTATAATATCAAAAACCCTATTGGCCACATCTGGTTTTCCAAGCTTGAAAAAGCAGTTCATCAAAGTATTGTAACTCCAAATGTCAGGAAATATGCCTCTTTGCATCATTTCATCGAACAGATCAAGAGATCGAGCTATTTGACAATTCCTAGCGGCACCGGCTAGCAAAGAATTATAAGAAATAATATCAGGGGTAAGCCCAGCTTCTCTCATTCTATGAAGAACAGAGTAACCGGCATCAAGTCCAATGAAACGACAGTATGCATCAATCAGTATATTGTAAGTTACAACATCAGGGAGCACTCCCAATCTTATACCATCAACAATAACTGATTCAGCTTTCTCCAATTTATGGGCTTTACATAATGAAGCTACACAAACATTGAACAATCTAGTTGATAAGCTACGACCCATTCTTCTTTCTTTTTTCCAAGCACATTTAAACCCTGCCAAAAGTTGAAGAAACTCACGAGGATTAAGAATTTTGTAGTTTATATCTATATTCTATACAGTAGATAAACATAAATATATATAACTTACGTATTATAACAAATTTGGAGGAAAAAGAAGAAGAAGAAGAGGTCAGTTCAGACTCCCTAGATGAGAAAAGAAAGGAATCCACCTTATGAAACTCGACTTGTCTGGGTCTCCGCTGGCAAACTTGCCCTCGACTAGCAGGAAATGGATGAGGAAGTATAATGGCTTGGGCAGATTTGTGCAAATAGTTAAAAATTATGCTGCCGGCAGGGTTTCAAATAGCGGTGTTGCTGTGTCCATTTCGCCATAGCAGCTCTGTCCGCCACCGGTAAAGACCTCTAGCAGCGTAAACAAATCTCCAATCTATAGCGGCTGATGGCGGCCGCAAATAGCAATGTAAATGGAAAATATCGCGAAAACGGCCCGGTATTTCCGCCAAACCAATACCTTTAAAAAATTTCTAATTCTCAACAAAGTGAACGAGAGAGCAACAAGCAATAGGATCATTAACAGAAAATCAAGTTTATGTTTCAAAAAGTACCTGGTTTGTCAGAAACTTGACGACAAGGAAGGGTTTTGGTCAGGGACTGGAACCGGAAACGAGGGTGGGTTGGGAATTTTAAAAATATATTTAATAAAATTCTTTTGATTATAATTTTATTCGGAGAAAACATGACTACTTGAGTAGTTAAATTTGAGGGTGAATTGTTGAAATGGTCTATTTTCTTTCATAATTTTATACTTTTACTTATCAATTTTGAAAAGATCATATTTTAATCATTTATATTAATGATTTATTAAAATTTAGGGGTTGTTTGTTTACTTCAAAATGGTTAAGCGCTGAATGATTCAGAGACTCTGTATGAATTAACTCTGAATGTGACATGTTATTTGATAATGGCTCTGAATCATTCAGAATGTATTTTTGTGTTGAATCATTCAACACTATTTTGTTGAATTAGTCAGCACTGAATCATTCAGAGATGCGAAACAAACGCGCTGAATGTTGAACGTTCAGCATTCAGCGTTGAATGATTTCATTAAGAGGCAAACAAACAACCCCTTAGCCACTTGTTAAATTATAATTATTGATTATTATATTTTGATCACTAAATTTTTAATTTAGATCAATTCGATATTGTATCATTTTAGTAAAACAAATTAATTTCAATTTAATCTATAAATTTTGGACAGAATATTAATTTAATTTTAAATTTTTTTAAAAAATATTAATTTAATCTTAAAATTTTAAATAAAATATTAATTTAATCTTTAATTTTAATGATTTTTTATCATCAGACAATATTCACTATTATTTTTATTGATCACCGTTGAACATTAAATATAAAAAAAATCAAACAATCATAATAATAAAAGAAAATATATATTTAAAAAAATTAAATTTAAACAATTACGTATATATACTTATTATTAATGATTAAAATTTTTAAATATATATTTATATTTATTCTAAAGTATTTAAAAAATAAAAAATCAGATATATAAAGAAAGAGATATAAATTTATTTAGGAACCGAATGGCTCTCTTAAATTATCCATAAGCCGACACGTGCAAAACTTAGTCTGATTCAGTTTAGGTTGGTGTAGTGTAGAATCTGGATTACTTGTGAACTGAATGGCTCTCCTTTTTTTTCCAACAAATTAAAAATCTCTCCTTTATGCCATCTCGGCATTTCACTCTTCCACGCCTGAATCTCCTCCTCAAAATTTCCTATTTTTTCTATATTAATCCAATAAATAATATTTAATATAATGAAAATAGTAATAATAAGTCTCTTTTTCTCTCTGTCAGTCTCTCCGTTCAATCTTCCCTGTGTCTTTGTTTAGTGTTTATAACACAGAAAAAAAGAAAGCCAATAAATTTGCGTGCAACAATGGCTCAGCTACTCTCTCCTGTATGTACAGATGCTCTGAAACTCCATAACCCATCTTTAAACATGAGAAGAAGAAGCTCGTGGAAGGCCATGGCTAAGAGTGGAGCTTCTTGGAGCTTGATGGGCCATGGTGGTCTAAGGAGAGGTCGTGGCAGAGTCAAGGCTACTACAGGGAGTACTGCTTCTACTGATTCTCTTACCGATGATTATTATGCTGTTCTTGGTCTGGTAATTCTTTAGTAATGTTTCCATTTGATTTTGTTTTGAGCTTAGTGATTCTTTGTTGTTTCTTTAAAATTTGATTTGTTGGGGTTGGATCTGGTTGTCAAATTACTTGGTTAGCAAGGAAGGACGCATAATTTTATGTCCGGTGCGAGCTAAAAAAATTATATTAGAAATTTAGGCATGTAAATTAGATAATCAATATAAAACACAAGTATTGGATAGTGATAAAAAAACTATTATGTTCACAAGTGATGTTGCTTACTGGATATTCATCATAGCCATAGCTATTTTGGATCTTTATATTTATCAATTATCATGTCAAAGGCAATCAGTATTTGAATTTTTGACATGATTTCGCTCCCAGAAATATAAATAATTTATGGCCTGTTTCCATAGCTTCCGGATGCCACGCAAGAGGAGATTAAAAAGGCCTATTATAATTGCATGAAGGCTTGTCATCCAGACTTAAGTGGAAATGATCTAGAGACCACGAATTTCTGCATGTTCATCAATGAGGTCTATGGGGTGTGTTCCTATTCAGAATGACCTTTTATGTATCATGTAAATATTTATTCTTACTGCTATAATGCAACCTTTCTTTGCAGGTTCTCAGTGACCCCGTACAGCGCATGGTTTATGATGAAATTCATGGCTATGCATTGACCGCAATCAATCCTTTCATGGATGATTCTGCCCCAAAAGACCATGTATTTGTCGATGAGTTTAGCTGCATAGGTATGAGCTTCCGTAAATTTCCATCATCCATGTAGAAATTTTGCCCTTTCCAAATGCATATGGTTTGTACATAAAAAAAAATTAAGGCTACTCTTGCTTTATGTTATTCGGACGTTTCATTTTCCCTTGGTACATGTGTTTGACACATGTTCAAACACGAGCATGAGGGTATGATCCAACAAATACATGGAAAAACTCAGAAAAATTGAGCAGACGTATCGAATACTCATAACTAATACTCACTCTGAGTCCGTGTAACATAGTTCTTGCTTAACTACAACCTAGTAGAGGTGACTGTATTTTCAGCAAACGAGCTGTTGGGACACTGTTCTCTGAAATTATGCTTTTGTTTCGAGTATTTAAAATGTTCTTACTTAACAATAACATCACATTCTATTGGAAGGAAGTGGCAACTAAAGCAAAACTCCTACCACTACCCGTCTACGATCTCTAAACTGACACTTATTATGAGCTAATTGTTTCCTTCACAGGCTGCAAAAATTGTGCCAATGTCGCCTGCGATGTTTTTAGAATTGAGGAAGACTTTGGACGAGCCAGAGTTTATAGTCAATTTGGGAATCCTGAGTTAGTGCAACAGGCAATTGACAGTTGGTAGGTACTTGCTTCTGGGTATAATAATGTCATTATGTCATCCACTTTCCTTTAAGTATGCTAAATATAGTCACCTGGAGAAGACTGCTGTATGGTCTTGTCTCATCAGCAGTAACTCGCCACCATTTTCAAGCTTAATCGCGTTAAATTGTATGATTTTTATATTGAACGTTCAATAATAGTAGTTCAATGCGAAGGATAAAGAAAATGATGAGAAGTCATGTTCCAAAGCTATGATGAACACAAAATTCAAGCCATCAAATGTGTTATTACATGGGAATCATTGTGAAGCTTATTGATGAGGAAATTTCAGACCTCAACTTGAGGACGTCTGGTTTATTATATCGTTTCCGTAACCATTAACATATCAGTTATGCGAAGGAAGTAATTCTGGAAAGATGAAATTGTCGACAATGATTTCTGCTCCTGTTCTACTTCATTTTTATTCCACTCGGTTATATATTCTCCTTTAATCTTTCTAGGCCTACTGGTCTACATTTTCTTTTAGTGGTATAAGTAGTCTCTGGTTAAATACGATCAATTATTAGAACAATTGGGTAAAACTAAAATTTGACTTTTACACTGCGTGTAGCAAAAGTTAAAGGATTTACATGATTTAAATGATATGATTGCTGATCGTCTTGTGCTATTCAGCCCAGTTGATTGCATCCATTGGACTTCTGCAGCACAATTGTCGTTGCTTGAAGATGAAATGCGCAGGGTTGAAAGAGTTAATGTAAGGAAGAAACAGTCACTCAATGGTTCTTTTCTCCTACAATAATTAACCTTGATAAACATGAGCATTTTAGATGGCATCTGACTGATCAACTGTGGGTTTAGACACTGACAGAACATCATGAAGTTGTGTTAATCTTTCAGTGATACAATTCATTAATCTATATATTCAAGTTAGTTGTTTAGATTACTAGAAGTTTGAGCTTTTTGAATGGATGATCAGGTAGCATTGATGCTTTCAGGAATGGTATCGTCATCAGATGTATTCAGAATGGTAAAACCAACACTTATCTGCTACCATTTGCATTTCTGGTTTAGAACTTTCTTTGACTATCTACCGACCTCTAATTGTTCGGCAGGCAAGTTCTCGATGGGAAAAGAGGCAGGCAAAAGTGCTGGTACGAATTTTATTGTTTCAATATTCTCACATGATTTTAGTCGTCATGTTTCAGATTGTCAGGTCCAGTTGGTTCATGTAGTTACCTATGAGAAAAATATCGTATACCGAACACATTCATATCCAATATTCCTTTCAAATTCAGGATTTTCCTCAAATACTTAAATGAGAATTTCATAAATACTTCCATGTTAGGAGTAAATATCTACTAGCTGTCGTATTGGGAGAGGGAGGGACTTTCATTAAGGGACATTGCATTGAAGATGCTACGTAAAGTCGTATCTAACAACAGCGACTTGAACATTTCTTTCTCGTTCTTTACTTACCAGGAACAAGCTAAAGTAAGGATGATGCAGCAGAAAGATGCTGGTAAAACCGATTCATACTGGTCCGACCTCTGGGGCAAGCAAAAAGAATACAAGAAATCGGGTATGTACTAGGATTTTGATAATCACTAAATTCTTTTAAGTTATTGTCATGCATTATGGAGATGCAAATGATTGTATAATATGAAGGTGAAATGTTGTTTGCAGAGGAGGAAGTGAAAGAAAGAGCAAAAAGGGCTGCAGCTGCAGCAAGAAGATGGAGAGAGTATTCGAGGAGAGGTGTGGACAAGGCTCCCACAATTAAACTTCCAGAGGCTCTCTCCAACAAAGATAATTAAATTTAACCCACCACTAATCTATTTTTATCATTCCTAAAGCTCAAAAGTCAAATTTATTTTCTTTTCTCTACCATGCACTAGGCTTCCATTGAATATGAATCCGTAAACCGTGTATATAAACGCCATTGAATCACGTATATAAACATAATAAATATGGCAAAAGAAAATGGTGTTGAACCAAATGCAAGCTTGTGCTTTGTTCTAATATTTCTATTTCTATTTCTATTGTATTTGTATTCACCATGGGCATAAATTCATAGTGCGTGAATATCCTATACAAATGCACACAAATTAAATTTCATAATCCAATCGTTGTATTTCTTTTGGCTTGAATTCTGCCAGGTTTTAGGTGAACAACAAATTATCATATAAATGAAAATCTTATTCAACAATAAAGTAGATCTTAACTAGGAATAACGAAAAAGCTCAAGGGAAGTGAAGTAAACCGGTAGCAGGAGCTGAAAATATGTACTTAGCTAATGCGACATGAACTAATCAATCACTGGTGCGGTGAGGTCGAATCTACTTGCTCATGGTTGATGATAAGTAAAAGTTCCAAAAGATGGATCCTGTCGACATGAAAGCTACACGGGCTTGAAGAGGAACCACCCTGTCAACCACCAAACAAATTGCACAAACATGTTATTGTATTCCCAACAGTTAATAAATAGTTAATTATTATTCGACAATGACGTCATTGGGTTTGCACTAAAGAAATATTAGCGGATATGGAATGCCACAATATGATCTAAAAGAATGTAACTGTAAACTGAAATAGCATAAGAAATGGATGGACTAAAGTTGTTTTCCAGAACTTCAATATTGGAGTGTTGAAGTACTATCATGATTCAATGACAAACCAAAATGAATGAATGACGCAAACAAAGGAAGATTTACCAAAAATTCAACAAGCTGACGGGGATCCAAAACCTAAATCCTGCATAAGAATCAAAGATAAATGTTTAATTACGCCAAACCTAGATATCTTTATAGGCCGATGTGTTTCAAATGGGGCTTTTACCATAAAAAAGTGTCGGGAGAGCATCCTTCTGATATTTACTAGGGAGCTCTGAGAGCTTTCCTAGCCATAAATTGTTCCATGCAAAGACAACAGCAATCACACAAGGACCAAGAACTACCTGGTTTAGTAAAACCTGCAAGAACTATGTATCATGTGTCGTTCTAACGAAGTTATTCAGTTTATTTTCCAACCTTCAAATTCATTTCAGTACAGAAGCTAAAAGAATGAAAATGAAAACAAGTTTACCTTCAACATTATATTTTGCGCTGTCTGATGTGGCAAACAGTGATCCAGGTACTTATACCATGCATAGGAACCAGGGCCATATAAAAGAAACCCATAAGAAGTCATCCTCAAGGCACGAAGCCAATCATGGTGTGAAATGACGCTCGACATGATATCCTACCATGGAAATTAGGTTAAAATATAAATTATAACAGTACAACACTGAAATACAGAAGTCAATATTATAAAGCATCCAACCAAGATACCCAAGGTTTGTCAAAACTAAGACTGTATATACTCATTATGTTATATACACATATAACACAAAGAGAAAATGATTCATGATAAGTGAAACAAATATTACCCTTTTGAAAAATACATAATTTTGCATTTGCATCTCTCTCAGATTTTCTATCTTTTCCTTCCAAATTGGAATGATATGTTTTTACACATGAGGATGAAAAATGATCATCCCTCTCATTTTCTTTGTCAGTTTTCTTCTTCTTTACACACTCAAAATTCATTTTCTTTCCACTTGTCCACTCCCTCCTTCCATCCTACCATTTGTTCACTCAACCAAGAAAATCCTTAGGGTGTTACATGAACATGCAGCCCAAGGTTCCAAACCAACATTCCTAGTTGTTTAGGCAAAGCTTGATAGATCTACCCAAAGACCATATCCCCAAAGTATATGCTAATACCTGAAACCACATGCAGTGCTTTCATAGGCTATGGTCTCTCACACCGGTTGATGTAGGAAAGCTAGTGACTAGGGTTTATGGTAATTTTCTAATCTGATTTCTCGAGGGAAAAAGGATATATCAAGTAACAAAAAGAAGAATCTCCAAGCTTCATCACTTGGGGTTCCTTAGGAGTAATATCAAATGTTGTTGCATCATAAAATCATGAAGAACTATACTGCTAACAATTAGTTGACAATAAATTTATATCTCAATAGTAAAGTATATCAATTTAAATACACTCTAAGGATCCCTGGTCCATTAAGTACTTCAGTGAATACTTAAAGATAACTTGAGAGTAAAAACAAAGCCCCGTATCATTAAGAAACTCAAAATCTGCAATTTCCAGCAATTCAAAAAAGTCATGAAGATCCAGAACACTCACAATGTCAAGAAAGCAGAGATTAAAAGAACCTACAAGTTCAACATAAAGAAATATGAATGCAGTACTTAAAATGAACTACTGTAAGGTAAGTGCCAAACTAAGACTTGGGTTTTAGAACCAGCCTTAGCATGCTGCATGCTTTCTAAAGACCTTCAGGCTGCTGCATACAGCATACTCCGTCACCAACTTTGCAGTGGCACAAATCAACTCCCTAAAACCTTGTCATAACATATCATTTAGTTGATGTACTTCACTGGTCAGCACAAATACGGATGAGAAACCTGGCAATTCAAGCAGCAGCTTCGCTGACACACTTTCCTTAAAAATCGGGAATGTTTAAAAGTTCAATACAATTAAAATTTTGATTTCACAAGATTCCAAATGTTGATTGAGCCCGGGAAATACCTCCCAGATTTTTCTTGGCAACCAAACAGATCAGAACTTTGAATTTAAGAGAAGATAACAAATAACAATAACATAAATGCTAAATCTACTGGTCCAAACAAAGGGAAAGCATCAACATAAATAAATAAATAAATAAATAAACAGATGCGTGAGAGCCATAATTTCCCAAATTTTAGAGACTACAACGTCCTAAACTTCCTAAAAATAATTCCGAAAACTCAAACTGTTCCGTTTTTTTCTCACTAACCAGACAAAATGAAATTACTTAAAAAAAAGATAAAATAAATAACTAAAGCATTAAAATTGAGAATATTACCTTAGTTGTATCACTGGAATCAGAAACAGAATGTTTTCGTTTTCTCCAGCGGTCATTGAGTTGAGCAATTGTGTCGCCCGTGAGAGCAAGTGAAGCAGCCGTCACAGCTTGCTTCAACGGGAAACGGGGACCCCAACCGCCCGTTGAGTCCGAGGACTTCGACTTTGACGGAGACGGCCTTTTCGGGCTTCTTAAATCTGGAAGCTTCCAACCCCAAAACGCTCCGTTGCCGCCCAGTGCTTCCATTTTCACCAAATATCAGTTCACAAATTTGGGTGAAAAGGTTTAAAATTGAAAACCTTCAGATTGTGTCCTGCTGCTACTACGACGAAGATTTTTCTTTTTCAGTCAATCTTATTTTAACCACCAATTTTAAAAACATAACGATTTAATCACTTATGTTATCTGTCTATATTATTTTGATCATTGATACATTAATTTTCACCTTTAATTTATTGATATGATAGGTTAACAAAAAATTAATTTTTAATTTTAAAAAATCAATTTTTTATTTCCTAAAAAAAAAACTTAAAATCCTTCTTCAAAAAAGCTTCTCTAACTCTCCAACAAAGAGAGTTGAACTGTGCTAGGTTTATTTGTGAATTTTTTATCTCCTAAAAAAACTTAAAATCCACCTTTAATTTAGGACTGTGCTACCATGCTCAACTTTCAGAAGAACCCTTATGTCATCAATCTTCCCCCCATCAGCTTGTTTATTAGCATCTACGAGATGTTTGAAAACATATACCAACACTGTTCTCCAAAGTCAATCGGACCAAAAGACAAAAAAAAAAAAAAAAATCAAAAGCAAAGCAAACATTTCATATCTCGAGTATGCATGCACTCGATGAAAGCGTAGCCTCGTGGTTTATTTGTGGATTTATCAGTAACCAACCGAAACTGGTCACAATGAAGAGATAATTGACACACAGTTGAAAGTAGAGTACATAAGAAAAATCTTCTCATCGGTAGTTTTCGTTCATATACCTAATTTAGAAGAAGAAAATTAATTTTTTTTGAGATTTTTTTAATTAAGTAGAGAAATATTATATTTTCAAGTTAATTGTCAATATTTGAATCCATATAAGATGAGACAATATGAACATGCTTGATCATTGATACAAATATAAAAAAAACGTATGATATCCATTTTCTTCATATATTGATACGAATTAGAATTTTTTTTTATTAATTTAGAATGATTACAATATAGTATTTGTTTAAAAATTTTAATCATTTGACAATAAACGTTCAAACATCCCAGCAAATATCATGCTCGAACCCGATAGCTCTAGGGATGATAATCATCCCTTTAATCATTAATATCGCTTGATATTTTCAACTATAATATTTAAAAAATATAGAAATTTTTTTTTAGAAATCAATTTATTAAGTTAAAAAATATTATTTTAAACTTTATCAAATTCAATCAGCCAAAGCTGGTAGAAACTCCAGGTAGCATGCAATCTACTTTAAGAGGTGTTCAGGGCCCAGAATTGTACCAGCATTTGCCCACACTGTTGCCATTGGGCCTCATTTGCAGCAATTTACAAACAATTTCGGCTCTAACTTCAGGACATGGCAATGGCAAAACAGTCGCCAATTGTCCTGTCCCCACCAGTTGACAAATGAAAGACAGCAAACAAATCCATGTTGCATATTCTCAGTTGTTCTAGATGCTACTAGACGCTTCTCCTTTCTCCTCCAACTCCCCCACAAAAATTAGAAAACCCTTAGCTTTTTCTCTGCTGTGAAATCATAGAAGCAAAAAGGCAAAACACACAAGGAATAACAATGTTCGGAGTGGTATTTCCCAACCGGAGCTTCCCAATGGACATCTCCAGCTTCGCCCAAATAGATACTTTCCATTGGTTGCTCGACATGAACACTTTCGTCGGCGAATCCTACCATCAAATCGGTGAAATGTGCATCTTCCTTTTGAACAACTTCACGTTGCCCCCAGACAAGGCTTTGGCCGTCTACGTCCAGTCCCCTGGTTCCCCATTCGTTTTCTGCGGCGCCGTCACTCTCCAGCGCCCCTCCGCCGTGCTTTCCCTCATTTGGCCGGAGCCCGGAGGCCAGATGCAGCTCACTGCTCCCGATGCCGCGCCGCCTTCCGCAAAGATCGGTGTGTCGGTGGAGGATCTGGCCTCGTTGCCGTCCTTGGACGTGGCTGCTGAGAAGAAGATCGAACGCCTGGCGTTGAAAGTTGGGGAGAACTTGTTCAATTTTATGCAGTCTTTCTGTGGGGTTGATGGGTCTAAGCTGGTGGTGCCTATGGACATTTTGGATAGATGGTTTAAGAAATTCCAGGAGAAAGCCAAGCGTGATCCTGAATACTTGAAGGGTTTCGCCTTGTAATTTTTCACTATCTTTCTTCCTCAAGGTAACACTTTTAGGTTACCGAACCATGCGAATCATACAATTACTGTAGTTAGAATTTGTATCTGCAAATTTTTGTGGCAATCTTTAAAATCTGAAGTTTCCTGTGTTTAGTTTCAATTTTGCTTTTCAAGATTGTTCTTGACGAATCCAACACAACTCGATAGTTGGTAGAATTATCACTTATGATAAGTGCTCAAGAGAGATTGTCTGCTAAGCTCGGTTATCATATACGAAGTAATTCTTAATAAAACTCACAGTTTCTGTTGCTGAATACTTTCTGTTACTAGTTGCTTTATGGACTGGTTTCTTGAAGCAAATCTATCTATGCTTTCTCTAGAAGTTAGAATTTTAGGCGCATTGTCGATTGGTTTAATGCTTAGTAAGCATTTCAAACTAAGTGGTTAGTTGCTCGGCTTGTTCGGTCATACGATTTCTCATTGTCTTTTTTACTAGTTCGGCTTGCTCGGCTTTTATGCTTGTTGCTTAACATTCAAAGCTGTGCTTTAGTACTCCACGAAAATTTGAACTAAAATTTATCCCTTTTCTAGTCCCTTAATCACTTCAACTTCTTTGTTGATGCCTAAGATTTATAAATTCAGTGTGATTGTGCCACTGTTGTGCATAGTGGTGACCTTCTTAATGGTGATAGGTTTGGTTTCAAGTTAAGGCGGATAGAGACATTAAATTTGTTAAGATATCACTAAGTAGGGTACAAGACCGCATGAGAAGGTTTTCTAATTGAATGTTCTCTTAACGGATTTCAGAAGCCATTTTTACTTTGGTTGCTGCTGATAGAATGTTCCTCGTGCCTTTAAGACATTAGGTGTGATTTTCATTTTTAACTTCATTGAGGAGCTCAGTATTAAAGCAGTATCTTAATAGAAGTAATTTGAATATTTATGTTGAACTGCTGTATTTTTGCGTGCAACTTTCAAGACAATCGGTTTTTCATCCTTACATGTGAATGGGGTATCAACAGAGTGGATAGGCAAGTCGTAGATGTTTGTGATTATGATATTCAAATTTGAGCTTTTAGACTGTTGGATAGGAGTCCATGGCTATGCCACAAAGACCACCTTTGGCTTTGATGTTCCGTTGCATCCTGATATAACCTTCGTCACCCAATCCTGTTCCCCACGAGTTCTTGATGAGCCAATAATCAGTACAATCTCCGGATGTACCATATCCGATGGCTGTAACACCATGGTCTAGATCTGTTCCGCAATCTCCAGTGAAAATTCCACTCGAGTAGAATTGGAAGGCGAAACCTCTGGCTGGTTTGCAGCAGCCTTCTGTAACACCTGCTCATTTTTGCCGGAACAACCTACTTTGATTTGTTGCAAGTTCCATCATCGCCCTTGTATGGGTAAGAGGCTTTGGATGCAATGCCATGGTTGCAGATTATGAACTTAAATGCATCTTCCATTTCACCATCTTCACATCCTTGATCCACACCTTTATCACATTAAACCAGTTCTTGCTCAGACAAGGAATTTAGCTGGCCTGTAGTTGGTGAATCCCTTCGGTTGCTGCGATAGCCGATAACACCCAGCAGCTACCTGTGTTATTTTTTCATTACTCTTGTTATTTTCTTTAATTATACGATGTTATTATAAAATCCATATAATCTAGTATAGTATTATTACATATAACAAATTTTATTATTAATGTAATAATATCATACTGGATTGTTAAATATATGTTGGTTCATCTTTCTTTGGTTTAGCAAAACCAGTATAGTACTATTATATATATACAACAATTTACTTGTACGTGGGACTGGTTTCTGTTCAAACAGAAACTGTATACCGATACGAAGCTGGACGAGCATTTAAGCCGGAGATGCAAATATGGATTGGAAAAAAACATCGAAACAAGTGAAACAAAAGTGTTCTTCCTGGGGGGTGTCTCCGTTGCGTTCAGGGAGACGCAAGTATTACAGGGCAACTCAACAGGTCAAGGGAGATGAGGCCTTCAAATTGAAAAAGAGTAAACCATTGATTAAAAGAGGAGAAAATCGCCTCAGTGACCAAAAAAAAGTTATAATATACGATTTTAACCAATTTTTTTTGGATTTGCCAAAATGACCAACAAAATCGCAACGCGAAATAAAAATCGCAACGCGATCCCCAGAATCGCAAATCAGTTTCCAAAATCGTAACGCGATTCTTGAAAATCGCAATGCGATAGTACAAATTCGCATTGCGATTTTCCAAAATCGCAACGCGAATATGAAAATCGCAACGCGAACACATAAATCGCAACACGTATCCGTAAATCGCAACGTGTATCCGTAAATCGCAACGCGTATGGGTAAATCGCAATGCGTATCCGTATATCGCAACGCGTATCCGTAAATCGCAACGATAATCCGTAAATCGCAACGAGAATCTGTAAATCGCAACGATAATCCGTAAATCGCAACGAGAATCTGTAAATCACAACACTGAAATTTTGGGTATATAACACTGAAATCATAAACTAAATCCCTAAATCGCAACTCATTCCATCTCCATCTATCACTCTCTCCGGCGACATCCGTTCCTATATCCAACGACATCCTTCCCAATCCGGCAACATGTTTTAGTTTCGCAGCTCGTCTGTTTAGTAAATTAATTTACAACCATGAAATCATCTAATGTTGATCATGTTTGGATAGATTTGTGTTTTGGGGGTCATGGGATAATGTTCATGGTGTTTTACAATATATGCCTTTACCCATGAATCTTCAACTAAAATTGTCTTTACAAAGTTAACTTATGAAACTCTAATGCTACGTGTTTCAAATAAATTGAATTTAGAGCCCCTAAGTGGATTTAGGCTATCTTATCAGAGAAATGGTAAAGTTTATTTGTTAACCGACAATGAAGATGTTGAACGATTCATTGCTTACATTAGTGTTTCACAAGATGATGTTACATTGTATGTTGTTGAACCTAGAAGTAGTATTGTTGGGTCAGTAGCGGGTAGTAATCAACTAAGTTTTTCTCAAAACCCACAACCTTTCTCTAATCCAAATCCCAATCAACTTTCAGCACCAAATTCCGGTTTCGTATTGACAGTTAGACGATGATGAGCCAACAGAAAAAATTGTGAGTACTAGTCAGTATTCGAAATTTGGTCTTGGTCAATATCCGGACTTTGATATTGGTCAATACAGGATTTTGATGATGTTTCAGAAGAAGAAACAGACCCTGCGTGTAATGATTTTGATATTGGTCAATACCCGAATTTTGATGATGAAACAGCCGTTGTCGAAGAATGTATTGTTGATGATAATGAGGAGGAAGTTACGACTGTGAATGAACATGTTGAACATCCATTCTGTAATTCATATAATCCTGAAGAAGAAAAGAAGAAGAAAAAGTCCCGAAGAAAAGAAAATGCCACAGGCGTATAACTGGAATATGCCAGAATTACTTCAGATACCGGAAGAAGAGTTGGTAAAGAAAGCAGTTGATTGTTACACAAAGTTATTCGTATCAAGAAAGATGATTGTTTTGATACAAAGGAAGACTTGAAGATATCTTTGTATACGAAATGTGGAAGATGGCTATCAACTAAAAGTTAACAAATCAAGCAAAGATCGTTTCGAAACAAGGGTATGATTGACAAAAACTGTACGTGGCGTATGATTGCAAAGAGAATAAAAGATTGCGAAGTGTTTCAAGTTAGGACTTTTATTGATAAACATACATGTTCAAGAACCCAAGTTTTTCCTCACCATAGACAGGCAAACAAAAAGGTGTTGGGTGGTTTTCTGGCTGAGTTAATGTTTTTGAATGGCAGGGTATATCGGGGACATGAAATTATGACTGACATGAATGCTCGATTCAAGATTAGTATATCATATTCTCAAGCTTGGAGAGCCAAATGTTATGCCTTGGAATTGTTGAGGGGGTCGCCAGAAGCATCGTTTGCCCAACTGCCGGCTTATTGTCACAATTTAAAGCTGAAAAATCCTGGGTCGGTAACTCATATCAAAACAGATAGAGATGGACGCTTTGAGTTGCTGTTTATCGCCATTGGTGCTACGGTTAGTAAATCAATATAATTTTGTTGACTCATTTTGTTAGTTACATGCATTTCACATTTAAATGATTATATTTCTTGTGTATATTATTTTGTAGATTCGTTCGTTATTACTTGCATGCGCCCAGTTATATAGTTGACGGAGCACATTTGAAAGGTCGATACCTTGGAGTAAACTTATTAGCAGTAGCCATGGATGCTAACAATGGGATATTGCCAATAGCTTACGGGGTTGGCAAATCTGAAACCTCTGATTCATGGACATGGTTTATGGGGCATCTTAGGGATTGCATAGGTCCTATTAGCAATCTGACAATCATATCCGATAGGGCAAACTCAATTGACAACGCTGTTAGAAGGTGTTTCCCAGATGCTTTTCATGGACTTTGTGGTGTTCATTTTGTATAGAAATCTAAAATCAAGGTCTGCTGGTATAAAAAAGCACAAATGGACATACTGGAAGGCTGTAAAAGCTTATCGGGAAGTGGATTTCAATAAGCATATAAATTGTTTAAGACGTGTTTTGCCTCGTGTGCTCAAACACTAGAAGATCGGGTTTGAAAGATGGTCAAGAGTACATCAACTTGGAGCAAGATATGGTTTCATGACGTCTAATAGTGCGAATCAATCAACGCTCTAAGTCGTCATTCCCGGAAATTACCCATTACTATGTTAATGGAGTTTTTTCGAGCCTCTATTCACAGTGGTACTACAAGAAAAGAAACCATGCAGGTATTATTTCTTTGAATTCGTAACTTATCATATTTATATATTTTACTAAGTATTGTTTATTTAAATTTACAGGAACATTGGAACATCGTGTTACACCATGGACTGAAAAAAAAGATAACGAAACGTGTTGTGAAGTCAACGTCATGGAGAGTTGAACCATGTTCAAACACTTTGTTTCAAGTACTGGATAATAACTTAAATGGGCTAGTCGATCTAAATGCAAAGACGTGTTGTATGAAATGGCAAACATCTGGTTATCCGTGTGGCCATGTTATAAAAGTTGCTCTTCATTTAAACCAAGATGATTCAAGCGCATACGCTATGGATTGCTACACTACAGAAGTTTATCGACAGACTTATGCCGAGATTGTCTACCCTATTCCACATCCTTCTGAGTGGGACATACCAGATGACTTACAAACAGTTTTGCCACCAGCCATGGACAGAAGGCTACCTGGCCGACCAAAAAGTCACGATCGTATACCGTCTAAGGGTGAAGAGAAGAAGAGATCGACATGTAGTCGGTGCAAGGAAAGTGGTCATACAAGGTTGACATGTGGATCACCAGTGCCATCAAAATCATCTTTTCCTCTACCAAAATATGGATCCTCATCAAAATCCAAAGCTCATATGGTGTCAAGCA